GATTGTTCACAATTTCCTTGAGGATATCAAGGAGGGAATCTTCTTCGAGAAAAGTGGATAGGATACCCTGCAGAGTGTCCAACTTCTCTATTCCTCCTCCTCCTGAAGGACACCAAGGATGTAGGAATTGTAAATGACTTGGACCACTCCCAGCGCCTCCAACCAGCTGTCCAGTCAGGATCCAAAACCCCCATCCCGCCGTCACTTTCCCAGGAGGCTGCCACAGCCACTTCACAGGGTGCCACCATCTAGGGGTTCCTTTTTATGTTTTATTTTTATTTTTTATTATGTTTTATTTTGAGACAGGGCCTCACTCAGTTGATTAGGGCCTCGCTAAACTTCTAAGGCTGGCTTTGAACTCCTGATCTTCTTGCCTCAGTATCCTGAGCCAGTGGGATTACAGGCTTGGCTACCACATCCAGCTGTTGAGTGAATTTAAATGCAATAAAAATACAATTGCTTAGGTTTTGGATGATGTAATAGAAGTTAGTGGTAAAACAAATTTGGTTATAGTTATAAATGTGTAAAGTCAAACTATAAAACTTTTAAAAGAAAACATAGGCAAAAAATCTTTTCATGACCTGGCATTAGGCAAGATATACCATATACCAAAAGAATGATCTAAAAAAATTGAACTTCATCAAAATTAAAAACCTCTTTTCTGCAAAAGACACAATTAAGAAAATGAACACACAAGCTACAGATGGGGACAAATGTTTGCACATCACACATGTGATAAGGACTCATAGCCAGGATATATAAAAAATTCAAGCCAAGCATAGCAGGGATGCCTGTAGTCCCAGTGACATGGGAGGCTGAGGCAGGAGGGTCAGAAGTTCACAGCCAGGCTCTGCAACTCAGGTAGATCCTATCCCAAAATAAAAAATAAAAAGGGCTGGGGGTGTGGCTCAATAGTAGAGCATCTCTGGGTTCAACAAAAAAATCAATTCAGTCATAAGACAGGAATCAATAATGACCCACTTAATATATGAGCAAAGTAGACATTTCACCAAAAAAAACATGTAAAATGACTATTAAGCATATATATTATGAGCTAGGCTACATGGGCAGTGACAAACAGACTCCATTTTGCCCTGAGACTCCATGTCATGTAAGAAATGCTTCTCCCATGGGAACACCCCACACTGTACCCATCAATAATTGCTTAGCATAACATGTTTGGCAACACAAAATGGCAATTCTTATACAATGTAAAATTATTCTCTCTTTGGTTCCCATTTTTCTTGGGCCATGTACCTTGTCAGAGAACAATTGTCTAGATGTTAGAAACCATTCTTTAACTTGTGCTTGACTAGGGTCATTTTGACCCACTTCCCCTTCTGCTTATTATTTTAGATCTCATGACATTTGTTTATGGTCTTAAATTATAGCAATAGCCACTTATGATTAATATCGTGGGGGCACAGGGTGTAGACTAGCAGCCTGCCCCTTGGCCTGCCCACTGGTAGGTCTGATCTGTCAGCTGGTGAATAAAGATGGTTCTGTCTCCTGCTTTAAGAATGGCTGAGGGATTTATTACAATCTCGCCATAACACATATGGGTGATCCACATCACTGGTCAACTTGGAAAAGCAAACTGAAAATAACTTGAGATACTACCACACACAGACTCAAATTCCTAATAATTAAAATAATTCTAGATTTTAAGCCAGTTACCCAAATCTCTACTCTGAAAGCACATTGGGGAACTGGGGAATGGCTACTGAGTAGGTACCAGACTCAGGGGACCTGCTATGGACAGAACTTGGTCTCACACTCTCCGCCCCTAGATGCTCTAGAGAAGCAGGGACCATGACACATTTTGGTCTCAGGTTATCAGTGTCAAGTAGGAGTCGGTGTCCACCCAGGCTCAATGTATTTRAGTATTTTCGTTTTCTCAGAGCCCAGTTACCCACAGGAGTGAGTAGAGCTTCCTGGGGAGAGATGGGAGGGACACAGGTGGTGTTAGTGTGGGGTCACGTCAGCGCCTACAAAGCCGCTGCTCCTGGGGGCGAGATAAGGAGGACCTCAAGCACAGGACTAGGAGGCAAGGAGAGGGGAGCTGGCCACTTGCTTGTCTCCAGACGTGGGTGGGGATCAAGCAGTAAAGGGCGGTCCTCTAACACCAGGAGAGGTGCCCCTGTGCAACGGGCACACGCCCTGTTCTGAGTGTTCCGGCTTGCAGATGCGCTGGGGACCCTTCACTGTGTTCCGCCTCACCGCAGTGGAGGAATGCATGAGTAATAAAGTGTCCAGAGCCTCTGTGTCTAGTCCTCCAAGCTCACAAGACCCTGGGGCTTCTGCAGCCCTGGGGTCACAGTCAGGATTCCTTCTGCATTTGCGGCCTCTTCAATCAGGTTCTGGGTTTGAAACTGACTCTTAGGAACTGGGCAAGGACTGAGCTGAGGAGTTGCTTAGGGCCTTGCTAAGTTTCTGAGGCTGGCCTCAAACTTAAGATCCTTCTGCTTCAGCCTCCAAAGTCACTGGGATGAGTGGCCCGTGCCACCGCACCCAGCCCATCTACCTTTCCTAATTGAACAAAGGGCCTATAAATGTTAGCTCTGGTGCTGTCCATCCCAGACCCTTTATGTGAAGCAGGTGGCATTGTTGTCCCCTTACCTTTGCCATAATGAGTGAGTCAAAGGCAGCTGCAGATGCCAGGAAGGCTGCACAGGCCACAGCCCTTCCAAGCTTCTTGAGCCAAGTTCTGCACCCCCTTAGCCCAGACRGCATGAGGGCGGAAGGGCAGGCATTGCTGAGACCAGAGGGGCCTGGCCCTGCATGTTCCCTACTCAGGCTCAAGACCACTCAGAAGGGACGTCCCTCACCTGAGAGGCTCTGCTGCCACTAAAGCTGGGAGGGCAGAGGGAGTTCCTCAGGGTGGGGGCATGGTAGTGTGTTCTCCAGACGCCCCCTGCCTGGACAGGGGCTGGCACTACCTGAAGTGAGGCTGCCAGGAGCTGTCACAAACATGTCTGCTCATTGACAGCCAGCTGGCACTCACGGGGCAGGAGCAAGGCACCCAGATGAGCTGGGCCAACCTCAGCAGAGGACTGGGCTTGCTCTGGGATTTGTTCCCAGGTCTGGAGATTACTATGCCTGGTCCTGTGTCACAAGAGCAGCCTGTTAACAGCATGGAGCTGCTTCATGGTGCTGATCCCCAGCCTCACAGAGCAAGGAAGGGAACAAGACCCCTCCCTGCACACCCCTCCTTGCTTACCTCTCCCTGCACACCCCTCCTTGCTTACCTCTCCCTGCACACCCCTCCTTGCACACCCCTCCTTCACACCCCTCCCTGCACACCCCTCCCTGCAGAACCACCCCCTGCACACCCTCCCTGTACCCCCTCCCTGCACAACCCCTCATTGCACAACCACCCACTGCACACCCTCCCTGCACACCCCTCCCTGCACACCCCTCATTGCACACCCTGTCACCACTGAAGCATCTCTTCCACCACAAATGGAAGTGAAGGCTTCTCAGGGTCTGCTGCTCTGGTTCCCAAGAATGAGTCAGCTTGTCATCTTGACAGAAGAGGTGCTATAAGGTCAGCTGGGTGAGGTACCACATTCCAGTGTCCCTTATGAAGGAGGGCTTCCTGCCTCAAGTATCCCAGTGACCATCTTGGAGACAGCATTCCAATACAGCCTAAGACCACCAGCTTGATTTCCAATCCTGTGAAGAAATTTGTGCAAATTCTTCTCCACTGCATCTGAGGTCTTTGTTGCTTCTTTGAGAGTCCGACCCAGAAGTTCCCCGGGGACCACTGTCCTTAGGCCTGCAGGACGCTTCTGAGAGCTTTGACTGCTCAGAATCTGTTGTAGTGAAGGTGAGGCAGACCTTTGGGAGGGGTCAGAGCAAGCACTAGAATAAATCGGGAATGGCCTTCACTTTAAGTTCCTGTCCTACCAGATAACAGCTTGGGTCAGACCACTGGCCATAGGACATGGCTCCAGCAGTGGTGGGACCTGGGGACATGGATTTCTCTCTGCATCTCCTGTTAAGTGTGCCCACGGCAGCTGTGTGGTGGCCTTGGGGGCTGTGGGGAGCACCTGGCACCAGCCACTGGCCAGTGGTGCTCCACAAGGTGGGCTGTGAGGGGTTGTCTCACCACACGGATTCAGACAGGTTGTCACATACACAGGACACAAAAGTAGTGGGCAGTAAGCATGGTGTCCTCGACCACATGGTGACACAAGCTGGGGTCCAGAAAACAGATGGCACAGGAGCAGGTGGCTCTGCAGGCAGGGGCCGACCACCTACTGTGGCCAAGCAGCAGCTTGGACCTCGCTGGAGCTGTAGACCATGGTGCAGAGGCAGGCGAGGCTCAGAGGGCTGCTGTTCACAGAAGCAGAGGGGATGGAGGAGCACTGGCCTAGGGGCAGCATAAGTCTGGGGCAGCTGGGAGGCCTCCTGGCACAAGGCTGCTCAGCATCCCTGCTGCAGAGAACACTCGGGTTCCTTCAGGCCTGGGAGGCCTCCTGGCATGAGGCTACTCAGACTCCCTGCTGCAGAGGACACTGGGTTCCTCCAGGACTGGGAGGCAGGCTGGCCAAGCTCTGCTTATGCTACCATGGTGTAAATGCGCAGGTTGCTGAGCATCAAGGCTGAGCAGTTCCCTAAAGTTTGTCTATATTTGTGAAATAGAGTCACCAAGAACACTGACCACAAGGTTTCTTTCTTTCTTTTTTTTAACTGGGGTTCAACCCAGGGACCTTAACAACTGAGCTACCTCCCCAGCCCATTTGTATTTTTTATTTTGAGACAGGGTCTCACTAAGTTGCTTATGGCCTTGCTAAGTTGCTGAGGTTGGCTTTGAACTTACAATTGTCCTACCTCAGCCTCCCAAGTTGCCAGGATAACAGGCATGTGGCTCCACACCCTGCTTTGTGTTTCATATAAACTTCAGGTAAAGGTCACCATTCCGACTGTGTTGAAGTGTGTGACTTGGGGTGCTCAGTGTTCTCAGGGAGCTGCAGGACCACTGCTCTTGCTCTGGGGCACTTCCTCACCCAAGAGCAGCAAACCCTGCACCCTGGGCAGTCCCACTCTCCCTGCCCTCAGCTGCTGGACACGTTAATCCACTCCCTGTCTTGTTGCCTCTGCCTATTCTTGGCAGGTCACTTGAATGGAGTTAAGCAGTCTGTGGACTATTGGGACTGGCTTCTTGCACTCAGCAGGTTTTAATGCCTTTGTGTCTCAGTGCTGGGGTGGAACCAGGGCCCTCAGGTGCTAGGCAAGTGCTCTGTCCCTGAGCTACACCCCAGCCTTCCCTTAGGGTGCTTTCCATGTGATCCAATTTGCTCCATGTATCAGGGCTTCATTCCATTTCAAGACCTAATGCTGTTCCATTTCTTGAATACATCACATTTTTTTATCTGTCCACTGATGGACATGTGGGCTGTTCCATCTCTTGGCTATTGTGAATAATGATGCTCTGAACATTGATGCTGAGTTTTGTGTGAAGGTACATTTCTACTTTCCTGGAGGTACCTAGACAGGAATTGCTGAGTCATGTGGTTGTCCTGGGTAATATTTTAAGGCACTGCCACACTGTTTCCACAGAGACTAAGTTACATTTTATCTCAGAATATGGTTTTAAGTAATAAAAACCGCTCTCAACAAAGCCTGGCCCACAAGACTTATGCTTCCATTCCATGGGTATTTATGGAGAACATACTGTGTGTATTTTTTAAACATGGCAGTGGAATGCATCACAATTCTTATTACACATATAGAACACAATTTTTCATATCTCTGTACATAAAGTATGTTCACACCAATTCATGTCTTCATACATGTACTTTGGATAATAATGTCCATCATATCCACCGACATTGCTACCCCCCTCCCTCCTCCCTTCCCTTCCCACCCCTCTGGGTTAGAGTGAGGTCCTCGATCAGTGAGATCTTAATGGCTTGAAAGTGTAAGAAATGAGGTTTTTTGATCCATTGTAATGGCCTTGTGGGACAGGGTTAGCTAGAAGCCCAAATAAGTGGTTGTGGGAAGAGAGAGCTAAACCTTAGAGGGGGAGATGGGATATCCTCATAAGGCCAAGAGGGCCGTGTGGGCTTTACTGTGTGGGCTTTACTGTGGTACAGTAAAGGAAGGGACTGCAGAGAAGGGAGGTCAAGCACATACTGGAGGAGGAGTGACAGTGACAATGATAGGTGGAGAGGTCTCGGGGTCAAAGCTTGTCCAAAAAGGTGGGGGCCATTTCTAAATCCCTGAGGAAGGACTGGCGATGCAAAGTGAGTGGATATCTGGRTATCTGGGTCAATCCAGGTAAAAGCAAAGAGGTCTTGGGAATCTTGGTGTAAGGGAATGGAGGAGGAGGCATCCTCAAGCTCTAGGACAGAAACCTGTGTGGTGGAGGCGGGGAAGGAGCACCAGTGAGTGCATGCATGAATGTGGAACGATGGGGTGTAAAGGACCACTGCTGCATTGATGACAGAGGTCTTGGACCAGATGGAAGGTGCCTGAGGGCTTTTTGATGGTGAGAATGGGTGTGTTATGAGGGAAGTCTGCCAGACACAATAGGTCTTTGGCTAGGAGGTCAGAAATGATTGTCTGAGTCCCCTAAGGCTGTTTAGAGGTAGTGGGTATTGGGATTGGGATGGAAAGAGATGGGGTTTTAAGTGTGATGTGGATGGGATCTTGGTGTGTGGCTACAGAGGGGTTGTGTATGTCCCATGCCTGGAGATTGACCAAGCACCAGGGCAAGGGTACTGATGAAGGGGTAGTTGTAGGTGATAGAAGAAGGAGGAGTGGGAATGAGGATGAGTCTGGGAGAGAGGCCCACATGGGAAAATGATGAGCTGAATTTACTCAGGAGATCTCTGCCTAGAAAGGGAATGGGGCATTGGGGAATAATGAGGAAAGAGTGGGAGAAAGGGATCTCATGAATGGAGCATGTAAGAAGAGGGGTTCTTAGTGGTTGATATAGTTTGCCTTCCACCCCGACAATGGAGGTTGTGGAGGTAGAAGTGGGTCCCCTAAATTGGACAAGTATTGAGAATGTAGCCCATGTAACCAAAATGAAAGAGATGGGCCTACCTGTTACCACAATGGTTAYCTTGGGTTCCAGCATTGTGATGGGAAGCTTTGGGAGAAAAAGTAGGTCATGAGTGAGTTTTGACCATCAGGTGACTCAGAATCTAAAGTGTGTATTGGAGTAGGGCCTGAGTCAGGTGGTTTTCAATTCATTCTAGGATGAAGACAAGAAGGTGCTTCTGGATGCCAAGCTGATGCTAGTGGTCCCTGGGCAGTCAAATTCCAGAGCCCTGGCACACGGCAACACCATAGAAGCCCAGACCCCAGGGCACTGCAGGCTGCCATGCTGCTCTAGGGAAGTTTAGAAGCCATGTCTGAGAGCCAAAGCATCAGGTCCTCTCTGAGGATGTTGATTGGGGTGTGCTGGCACCAGGAGGGACAYGKGGCAGTCRTGTTACTCTCCTGGCCATCAGGAGGCTCTGAGACCAAGTTCATGCTGGCAGCTTCAGGATGGAGCTGCAGAAGCTGGCAAGGTTATTCTGGGCATGTCGGTGATCTCCTGGGTGCTGAGATAGGAGCTGCAGTCGAGTTGGTCACAGGATTTGGGAGCTGCTGCTGCTGCTGAGCTCTGTGGTTGGGGCCTGGAGGCTGGATGGAAGCGCCAGCTTCCTTGAGGGCCCTCTGTGAGGACAGCTTACACCTTACCCCTGACTGCAGTCAATGATTAGGCACAGTGTCAGGTGCCCAGTCAGTCCCCTGGGTAGCCCTGGCCCTTTGAGGGATTGTTTATTATCATATGTGTCATGGAGGAGGAAACTGAAGCCCAGAGAGATGAGGTGACTTGCCCCCATCGTGGGCTTCCCAGCACTGGGTTTGGGTGTTAGATCCAGCCTGCCCACGCTCAGTCTGAGGCTTCTCTGGCCCACCTGGATCCCGGCTCTACTTCCTCCAGCACTTGACCATGATCTCCTCAGTCTTCTGGGTGTCACCACATGTTGTGGATGCAGGCTTCAGCTCTTCCAACTGTATAGTTTATGGGTGTCTGTGAGACCATCAGGAGATGCACTTAGGCCTCCACAGAACCTGGAGGCTGGTGTTCCAGCCATCACCAGGCTCCAGGTTCAATGCTGAGCCTGGGCTTCAGATTCAGATACTCCAGAGCTGATTCTGGAGACATCCCACCCTCACTGTCCACAGTTCTGCCCAGCCTCACCTYTGGGCTTCACTGAGCTATACCGAGGCCCAGAGGCAGGCACTAAAGTGCTCCTCTGGCAGCATGCCATGCTGTTGCAGGCCCTCTGCAGCAGCTTGATCAGGAAATCTCTTCAAATTCCTGGGCCTGAGGGTGCCAATGGGTGAGCAGGATTCAGTGCAAATACTTCTCTCACTGATGTCCAACTCAGTCACCATAGAGATGACGGGCAGTGCACTGGGCACTCAGAAGCCAAGTTTGATGCATACAGTATTACCACATCTTTCAGTACATGCCGGGGTCCTGCCCTAGCGGGGTCCAGGGAGTCCTGAAGGATGAGTGGCATCGGCAAAAAGATGAGACAGGAGTCATTCAGTTGGAGCAATCTCCAGAGAGAGAGCTCTAATGCAGCTTTCTCTGGGTTGTCTTTTATTACAATTTTTCTCATCATTATAGATTCAGAATACGTCATTGATTATATAATTTGAAACTTTGCCAAGACATGACATTTCCTTAACCATGATTGGGGGTACAAAAAAATGTAACATTAATTTACATTTTCCAGGATATGACATTTAGTTATTTAATTATTAAAAGTACAGAATCATTAATAAAATACATCACTAATTTACATTTTTCAGATTTTCCCAAGATTTACTATTTTCCCCAAGATATGCTATTTTCTTATTATTTTTTAATGCCAAACTACGTAACCAGACTCTAAGTCTCCTAATCAATCATTAACCTTAAAGTTTAAAGTACACTTGTACTTTATTTCTAATCTAAAATTCCCATCTAAAAAAGTCCCCTTAAATCTTATACTTAAAACATCCTAAAGTTCCACCATGGGACCAGCACACTGGTTTCATTAAAGAGGTTCTTGGCATAAAAGTTAGCTAGTGAGATCAAAATAAACACACAGACTCAATTACCTTTTTCTATGACCAGGTCCTAGACGGCTCCCACCTCTCTGGCTCACACCTCGAACTGGTAGGGCAGCAAGGATTACTTAGGGCTAGCAGGAGAGAGGAAGAGGCAGAGCACGCTAGGGAGTAGCCTTTTATTGGGGAACAAGAAATTCAGGGGAGAATTCCATCCAATGAAGGTTGAGGG